GAGCAGACACTGATATCACATGTACTCTCTCTCCCTTTATGCCTTAGAAACTAAAACAACTGGGCCCTTTTAATTGTCTTTCATGAATCTATCCCAATTCTTTTGTCATTAAACTTTGCATTTCTTATTTATTTATATATTTATGACACTTGAAAGTTGATTTTAAAACAAGCATTTTTAAAGCTGGAAAATTCTGTAGTCATAGAGAAATCCATGGAAGTGCTGATTAATGCATTTTTGATTTAATTGTGGTAAAAAAAATTCAACTGATTAAAGGCATGCTCTATAAATACTTAAAATTAAGCTGCTTTCATTTAAATAAGATGTATACAGAGGGTTTTGTCTCTAACTAAATATGATGCTGTACAGAAGGATGGATAAAGATAAGCACTTCTGAATGTTGTTGTTGCCTGTTTAGAAAATCCACAGATAAGCCAGGGGAGTTATCACATCTACCTGACTGACCTGAAACAACCACAGCCCATAGTTTGAAACCAGATGTTGCTGGGGTGTTTTGGTCAGGAGGACAAAGCTTTGAGCGCAAAGAAAACCTGCGAACACTCACTCTGCTGATGGAGAAGGTCAACCCGGGTGTCCCCGAACACACTCCCATGAAGCAGAAGCGCAGCTGCCAGTAGAACAAATGTTCGCAGATGAAAGTGATCAGTGACAGAACCATGGCAGCCCCGAGCATGTAGAAGACCCCCGCCATGTTGTCCACATCCAGCTGGCTGCTCATCACCTCATTCTTCTCGTTGTGGCAGATGCCCGTCAGCCACAGGGCCTCCAACTCCTCCATCTCACCTGAAGACGCAAACACTCATATCAACGTGGTGTCAGGAGGGAGACGCTCATCTATTATTTCCTTTCTATACATTTCTATTCTGGTCTGTTATATTTTGTGGAATTGTTTCTATTTTATTTTTAAGCTGGGTTTTTTTCCCGCTCTATTGTTTAGTTGTTCACACCAGAGCTCTGTACTATAAAGCAGGATTATTGGCTTATCGAGGTAACTTCAGGTTCAGTTTGGAATTATCAGCATCACAAAGCTGGTTCACTTTTTGAGTTTATGGCAAAGCTGGAAAATCTAACCAGCTCAGTTTAGATTTTCAATGTATAAATCACACATCAACACACTAATCAATGTCTTTTCTTCTTGATAATTTTTCCTGAGATTTACCGTTATGTTTGTTTTTGAAAAATGTCTTCATGAACAGATCTCAACAGAATGCAGTAATTACAGTCCACAAAACAGAAAATGATTGCTCTCTAAGGTTTGTTCCTGCCAACATATTTTTAAACAAAGAACTAACTATAATGAATATTTTGTTTTGAGATACTTCTACACTATAAAAGGTTTCCTGATGTTTAATCATAAAAAATAACGTTTGTCACCACACTGCCTGCGCTTTCACGTTGATTGCCACAGAGATCTTATAAAAGTTTGAAAGCTTGAATAAAATCAATGAAACATTATACATTGCACAGAGATGAGTAAGCATAAAGCGATCAACTCTGTTTAGTGGAACCACTTTGGTTAAAACTTTCATTTTTATCATAGTAATTTTCTGTTAAAGTATTTTTACTTTTTCTTAGTTATTTCTTTCAAGTACGTTTTACACCTCTGCTTGTTTCCTAATACAGTCTGAGTTTTATTCTACTGTTTTTAGTCTCTTTGTGTTGCATGTTGCTGTTGGGTCTTCTTATTTATTTATTTATTTATTTATTTATTTATTTATTTATTTATTTTAGTTTTTAATTTTTTCATGGTTTACCTCCTTTGTGGTTCTGTTCTCAGAATGTTTTTGACATTTTCAACTCAAAAGTGGCAGAGAAAGGAAATCAGCTTGGCTTTAACAAAAGTCGTGTTTTTTTCCCTCGTAATAGCACCACCAAAAATCTAAAGTAAATGAGAAAAAACACACACACCACTCACACAAAAACAAAACAAAACAAAAGTAACTGACATGTTATGTGAGGTAAATTGCTCTCTGCAGCCCTACCTGGTTGGACCCTCCTTTTACAAAAATAAACACAACAGCAGTGAAGTCGCTCTCCACACCAGGTTGGAGACATTTTTGTTCGTTCTTTAGTAGAAAAACAGATCGAGTTCTGGGGTGGGATTCACGTCAGGACCCCTGGTGTCATTTCTTTATCAGAAAACGCCACTTTTTTTCAACAAATTCAAATGGAATACAAAATATACAGAGTATTTGAAATGAAAAAGACATTTATAATTTTTAATGATTAACTCAACATTGAACAGATATTCAGCTCCAACACTCATTTACACGTAAACCCTGCTGAACGAGCACCCACTGCTGTCTGAACAGTAAGCCCTTGTTTAAAACTTGGCAATATAAACCAATAATCCCATCAAGAAGAAACTACAAAAACTGAACTTGTCTTTTTATTTCATCTTTCCCTTTCATCCTTTACCTTTTAACGTTCCTTTTCTTTTTGCCCTGAATATGCATTTGTTCTCATTTTTCTGCATGCATGATGTGCTCAGTGTGTCGTTAGAAAGACATTCCTTTGCAGATGACGTCACGCTCACACTGTGAGTCAAACAGCGCTCGTCGATGAGCCTGATCACCTCACCTGGAATATCGTATGTGTGCTGACAGCAAAGCAATCCATGTGGAGTGAACGGGAAAGGTCGGTCGTGTTGGTTGACACTGCTTTACACAGCAGAATGAGATCTCGGCATCTTTTCAGAAACACACACGGCTGATCTCTACGTAGCACACATTAAAGCTTATACGCACAGTATATTCATGTCCCAAACTCATCCTACACAAGATGTTTCAAACCGTCTGTGTTGAAGCCTGAGTCAGTCTAAAGACTTTGATCCTCGGCGAATGTTTTCTCTGAGCTGACCTATTTGTCCATCACACAGGCTACAATGGAAAGTGATAGCACCTCGAAGGCCACTTCAGTATGCGATGTGACAGGAGGGAAGCAGCTCGGGGGACGTGAACCGTTACTGTTGTTGTGTTCTTCGAGGGCACGAGTTCACAACAGGAACATTTGTTTGTTTTATGTCAAGCTTTTCTAGAGGGAGTGAATGAAAAAAAAAAGAGCTGCCAGCACTCCAGCTGGTCAAGCGCTGAAGAAAACTCACTCTTTTATTCATTTATTCCCTGACAAAGCAACCAGAAGTGGAACGACTTAAATGAGACAAAACTTTTAACTCCTCTTTTTCACAATTAAATCATTCTGTTGGGGTCTAGACAAAATGGAACTGCTAGGCTTTAGTTCCACCTTATTGTAACTCCACAAGCCCCTCTTTCACCTTTTGAGGCTGTCTCATTAAATCCAAACAAGGCGCTTTACACCCCGCCCCCTCCAGCCTCTAGATCGGTCCATTCCAGTTTGATAGAGGGGTTTACGACTATATAGTGGTGCAGAAACTTTTTATTTACAAATTAATTAAAATATGTCGCCCCTCGCACTGTGACTGCTGGATATGGGCACCAGTGACCCACGCGACCCTGAAAAGGAAGAAGCGTGTACAGAAAATGGATGGATGGATGGATGGATGGATGTCAGCAATGAAATTTGTCTACCCAGCCTTACATGTTAGAGCCAGAGTCTGACCCAGAGCCAGAGGAGGATGAAGACGACAAAATTGTTGTTGCTAAGTCCATACCTTATTTGGCAGTTCCTTCACAAATACTGTGACTTAATAATTCAGAAAACATCATAGAAAATAGAGAAAACTGAATGAGCTGAAACATATGATTCAATACAAATACTGTATATCTATACAGCAGCAGGACAAAAAAACTAAAATTTAATTTTCTGCATTTGACTTCAAGTAAACATAAAAATGTATTTAATGGCTAAAAAAGTGGATTTTGCATATGTGCCCTTTAATATATACAACTATAAAGTAAATAAATATAGGTTTTTAACCATTGTACCACAATCACATGGATAATCTTATTCTGTCACTTGCATGTGAGATCTTCCATCACAAAAAAAAAAAACCCTTTAAGTTTACACGTCAAAAAGCCAATCATAAATAATAATTATTGAAAAATCTGTTTACATCTGCCTGTGTTATTTTCCAAAGTGTAATCCAGCAGATAAAATCATAAATAAGGGGGCGGCTGTCAAGGTGGGCATAAAGCAGGTTAGGACAATTATAATGTGGGCGAAAGTGGATGATGAAATAATATGCACAGCCTAATATGAAGGAAGGACAAATGTAGGACAAACTGTGCCTCATATCAGATTAATCACAAATTCTATGCTAAAGATCTTATTTCAGCAGGATAACTATACAGTACACGTATGATCAGTTTAAAAACAGTCTTCTTGTTTTGTAGTCTGCATAAATGCCATACACGACAATGGTCTTGTAATCCATACAAAAACAGATTTATAAAAAATATATATATTTTTGTCAGTTTGTGATGGTGAATTCAGGAGTTTGAGTAAACCGTTGATCCACCCACACAGCTCCAACTCATTCAGCAATCTGTGACTGATGTGGCACTGAGGAAAGCAGTTTAAGGTGTAGCATGCCGTGGAAAAATAGCAGGTATTGACCATGCCCCTATCTGCCCACGCTGGCTCTGCCATTCACACATTCAGCTGTGTGTCGACCTCAGCTGACAGTTCAAAGAAGTGACAACAATTGGTCCTTATTTTGTCGCCAAACCCTGCAGGTACGGTGCAGCAAAGAGCAAACCGTCCTGCCTTCAAGGGCGGCTATTTAAAGGGATCCAGAGATGTAAGTGGGGTCCTTGATGTAGACAGCTACTGCATTGGATTCATTCATTCATTTATTCACTTGAATAGCCACCTGTGGCTCGGGCATAAAAACTGATGACAAAACAAGCAGCAGAGAATTATTGAGAGGAAGCCACACGGTTTGCTTAATAATTATGCCACTAAATTTGTTTCAGATTTTTTTTTATTCACATCTCATATCTATGGGCTTTGTTTAGAGCCTGAAATATAAAACCATTTAATGAGCTACTGTGTATTTTACTAAAACTATAAGAAAGTAATCATTGAATGTACACTTACAATTAATTAACATTTGAATTGCTGGAGTCAGCTGACTGAGACAGCTTTACAATGAAACTAAATCATTCTAGAGATTCAGGTTTATGTCTGGAAGCTGATCTTTGAGCTGCTCAGTGAGCTAACAAGCATGCATATAAAAATAATTCATAATAAAAGAACGAAAAGCAGGAATTTTAAAATGTCTAGTCTTTAATAGTAATATTACTCTGAAAAAACACTTTTTGCACAACGTTGCATTCCCTGTTAAAATAAGATCCAAGATGTATTATTGTGCAAAACTTCCACAGGCTTGAGTGTTGCCTGATTTGGAATCATGTAAAGTAACTTGGCCTTGACAGTGTCAAACATGCAAGATTAAAAAAATGTTTTTATATAATAGGAGATAAAATAAGAACCTTTTTCATTATGTAAGAGTCCACTTTGAAGGCACTTACTGCACGGTGAACGTGTGAATAAATAAATGATAAATGATGATTTTGATTTAAGTCTAAATTAAGGAAGTTTTATTCCATCTTTATTAGACACGGCTTTAAAAATTAAAGGCTTACTTCAAGACTTGTGGGCTAAAATTTCCTTTATGAAAATTTATTGCTCATTTATGATTATAAACGTATGAAATATTCATCAATTAAGAGCAATGGCTTACAAATGCTCCTGAAACCTGCAAAGCTAAATAATGTTTCCTGCTACCTGGGTAATGTGTGTCTTTGTAAATGTACCTGAAAACAATGGAGCAGATGCCTCTGTGGTGAGTTTAATATCTTATTTCACGGACATGCTTGTATCAGATTCAGGACTCAACATGCCATGCACATGAATATTTACATGATAGGGATGACTGTGGGACCACAACATACACAAATTCATACAGAGTTAAATATGTTGGATATGATCAGCCAGATGAGAGGAAAATGACAACATTTAACGGGACTTTAACTGTCACAAAGAGCAGATCTTGAGTCCTGCGTGTCAAATGGTTGCAGTAAATTGACTATCAATAAATGAAAAGATAAACTGACAGGCTGTAAACCTGAGCAGCAATGAATCACTTCACTGAGACGTTTTAAAGCGTGAGACGCTGCTCTATAGACTTTTTTATTCATTTTCCCCACAGAATTTATATTTCATCTCTGCCATGTGCCAATAAACAGAGGCTATTTTTTAAATCCTAATGTCAATCACACAATATATTCAAAAGGTTTTAGTGTTTGGAGAACACAGTGCTGGGCACAGTTCCCCTAAAGCACTAGTAGGGGAACTAATTTCTTGATTAGTGCTTTAGGGCTTTTGCTATTTTTTAATTCATTAAAAGTCTGTAAATTAAGGGTTTTTAACATTTTTTAGGGCTTTTAACAAATTTTAACTAATAACCCATAAATAATGATTATTATTATTATGATAAATAAAACTAAATTTAGAAGCACTAACTGAGTTCTTGAAATGTTATTGATCAACATTATTGTTGACAGCTGAGGGTGAAAGCTATCACACGTGTATTCTACATAGTACATATTGTCTCATGTTGACTCTGAGGAATGTTCCATGGGTCAAATGGGTTATTTTAGCGCTTTAAAATTAGCTTTTACTAAAAATTTTCAGTGCGTTAGTGCTTTAGAAATAGAGGACCTAAATATTTGAGTTAGTGCTTTGGGGTTAGTGCAACAAAGTTTTAGATTAGTGCTGCCCAGCCCTGGTAGAACGTTTCCCCCAACATTTTTTTTCCATCTGACCCGTGTTGTCGGCTTTGATGCTTCTTGTTTCTGTCAAAACAGTTTTTCAAACACTGTCCAAAACTTCCGCACAACTAAATACCCAGTCTCTCATGATTCAAGTTTTTATTTCTTTAACGTGAGCAGGTCTTTACAGGTCTAGAATTATTGTACCTGACTGTTGAGGGTTCTGCACCAGCCTGGCTTCATCCTGCAGCTCAACACCAACACTGACCTCCACTGACAAGACTCCATTTAAACAAATGACCGTTGAACAAACCAAGTCAAAGCAGGAGTTTGTGTACTTTGTGTGGTTGTGGTTCATAAATCCGTACCATCTCCAAACAGCATCAGAATGGCCAGATCCACGGCTCGTTTCCAGCCCGAGTCCTTTTGGATGGCGATGCCGTAGCCGGTGGAGGCGAAGACTTTGCCGCTGCCGATGGTCACAAGTTTACAGCCCTCATCTCTGCCGGCCATGTAGTTCAGCACTGCCGCGTCGTAGATAAAGGCATCTAGTTTTCTGCAAAGCACAAAGATTAAAAACAAATATTAGAATTAGGAGTTACTGTAAAGAACCCTCAGAGGTATAGAACAACCTGGTTATCGTTGTAACTTTTAAAGTCGATATTTAGAAGTTAAACACAGGAAAGCAGGCTAAGAAAGTGTTTAGGGTTCAACCAGTCCCTTTTTAACTCAATTCTACTCTGTTATAAGTCACTTCTATTTTAGGTTGCTCTGTTGTCATGGAGTTGTTGAAGATGTGCTTCATGAAGTTCAAAACTTCACCCCCTCCTGAAGAGCCCCCACCCACGGGTTCCACGTCGAAAACAAAATGAGTGGCGCTTCTTCTCGTTTGCCCCCAGCTGCGGCTGTGTGGGTCTAGTAATGATCAAACCGTGTGGCTTTGTGAGCCATGATCTGTTCGTTCCGTGTTTTAGCTGCGAAAAATTCTTATATTTTCTGTATAATTGACAGTCTTGAAGTCAGATGTCAAAGTGACATGACAGGTCTCCAGCTGCCATCAGTGTTTTCCTCGGGGCTCTCCTGTGGCCGTTCAACGCCAGCGGAACATCACAGCTTCTTATTCTCTCAGCGTTACTTCATAACATTTTGTGAGGACAGGAAAAAGAAAAAAAAAACAAAAGAGCAGAAAAATTTACAAAATATGTAGTTATCAAGCAGACACGTTGATTTTTCAGAGACAAGTGTAAAGCAGATTTAGACCCCCACTGGGTGCTCTTTCACATTTCCCCCAAACTCTCCTTCTTCCTCCGTCTCCCTCTCTTTAACATTTCATCACACTTCCTTTGTTTTGCATCAGTTTGAGACGTTCCAGATCTTTAACACTGTCTCTTTGATTTCTGCTGACATCCTTTCAACTCCCTCCATTTCTTCATCCCCCCATCTGTCTCTCCAGCCCCACCCAGCCCTCCCCCCTCCTCTCCGTTCCCTCCTCACCCGGTCTTCAGGCTGTACAAGGCCTCATCTACATTCTTCTGGTGGAAGCTGGTCATGTAGGCGTGCATGTCCCTGTAGTTGTTGCGGATGTTGCGTTCTGTGCTTCCGTTGGGCACGGTGCCAAACCGGAAAGGCGGCGAGAACTCGTTGGGCTTCTGAAACTGTGGTGGAGAAACAGTACAAGGAAAAGTACAATAGGCAGTAAAATCATTGTGAGAGTTACTAATAATTATTTTATTCTTAAATTTCTAGGTCCAACTTGGCATCACTATGGAATTTAACCGGTTCATTTGGGGAATTTAAAGCTTTACTTTAAAAATGCAACTATCACAACCAAATATCTGTCTGGTTCTTAGCTGACTGAGGTTGTTTTTTGCTCAGTTCTTGAGCTTTTTCAGAAAGTCTGCATGAAATCAATTGAGCCAATATGAAAAATAAACTTAGATCAAAGTATGACTGTTGAAATGTTTCCACCTTGTTAAATATATTTTATGAATGTCCTGCTGCATCTCAGTAATGCAAGTAGAAAAGATAAATAAATTGTCAGTCCTCTGGATAAGTTCTTTAATGAAACGTTTCGTCTCTCCTCCGAGACTTCTTCAGTCTGAGGTGTTTCAGGTGAACTGAGCCTTCTAAGCACTGCCTCCACATGGTGGACAAACAGGTTAGTCACATGCAAAAGAGGGCCATCAGCCAAACAGGCTTAGTGCCCTGATCATCACCAATTGTTCACAGGGGGCTGAGCCATACTTGCAATAACAGCATTGTAAAAGGAGGAACTGAAAACGAAGGCCTCCACCTCTGTTTTATGTTTGACTTTTTTTCCCACAAAGATGGCTTCCTTTACTCCTCTCTCAAACCAACGTTCCTCTCTATCAAGGATGAGAGCATCTTCACCCCTGAAAGAGTGACTGTTGGCCTGAAGATGAGAGTAAACTATAAAATTCTGGCCTGATGATGTTGCTCTTCTGTGTTGGCCCATTATTTTGAACAGTGGCCTAAACCTGTTTGTCCACCATGTGGAGGCAGTGCTTATAAGGCTGAGTTCACCTGAAACTCCTCAGACTGAAGAAGTCTCTTGGAGGAGAGACGAAACGTTTCACTAAAGAAGAACCCATCAGGAGGACTTACTTTTTTCATTATATTTTATGAAATTGGGCTATTGCTGATTATCACTCACCACCAAAAAGGAGAAAGAAAAGGAAAAGGTATTTTTTACACATGCGTACATGTGACCAAACCATTTTATAAAGAACAAATTTTAATAAATTATTCAACACAATTATTTGACCAACTTGTTAAAGTATGAGCAAAAATCTCAACATGTGGTGGGTGATATTTTCATTTATTTAATGTTTGAGTGTCAGAAAACAGGTGAAGCATGGAGAAAGTAACTCGGCAAAAGTTAACGAACATTCAGAGACTGTAAAACATTAAATAAATTACTTGTTTCCAGAGAAAAAGATTTGCTTTTATCTGCTGTATCTTTTATCAGGGAGTGTTTCAGATTCTCATAGAAGATGCTGAACATCCATGGCTTTATTACAGAGATTAATTCCCTTTTTTTTTGTGCTGCGTGATCTGGGAAAGAAATACTTTGCTGATTACAGAGGTTTATAAAAGTCAGCTCATCACCGGTCATCAATATTGCTCTGATTATCTGAAAGCTGAAATTTGCCCGATAATGTTGAGAATGGAGGAAAAGAAGTTTTGTGTGTTCTGAGAGAAAACTCAGGACTCAAAGATTCATGAAGACTTTTAGGCGGTGTCACTGACAGGGTTGGGTATTTCATAAATAAAACTAACAAGAGGGTTGATGGATGGACTTGTGTTATTACATAAAAACATTGTTTAAAAGTATCTGCTGTTGTGTGGCCTCTGTCAAGGTTGATTTTGGGTTAAATGTTTCTGTGTTTTATCAAGCTCATGGTCACAATTTGTACTCGGTTCAATGTGGACTATCATGGTTGTGTTTTTGTTTGCTTTTTGCTGATGAGTCCGGTGTTCAGCTCTCGTTGTGTCATTTAGCTGGTTTTGTGTTTGGTTGCTATTAATTTTGCTCTCTGGTCTGTTGTCTCAGTTCAAACCCCCGGGTGTCACGGTGTTATTATTGGTCAGATGGATGTGGACTCACACCACAGACCCTGTCGGCTGTTTCTGTAATTACGGTGACAGGCTCTAGCGTTCTGTCTTTAAACTGCTTCGCTAACCTGCATTTAAATTGTTGTTTTGCAGTTGAAGGGGTTCAAAGGTGCTGTTGGATTACTTGAGAAGGGAGTTTTAGGTTAATTTTTTTGTCTTGTTTTGTTTTCTGATGAGGAACTGAGGGTTCAGAAGGTCCCGGTGCAAGTCATGGCTTACACCTCCTTTAATTATATTGCTGAAATAAACAATAATACATTGATTAGGAGCAGATTTTAAAATAAACTGGGTTGCAAATTATTCGCCGAGCTTGACTGGGTTTGTTCCTGAAGGTCTGTGCAGCTTATAGTGGTCCATCTCTGCAAAAACAAGCAATCCAGCTCCATCAGAGTTATCTTTGGCTTCAGAAAACTTTTCTCTGATTCAATTCTGGGATCTGGAGGGACTTAAAATGCTACATAAGTTCAGTCCATTTACCATTTAATTTCCTCCTTACTTAGTCTGAGTTTTGGTGGATGACCCTCTTTAACCAGGTTTGCTGTGGTGGCATGATTTCTTCATTTCATGATAACAGTTTTAATGTTGCTCTGTGTCTTTGCCATGCACTCCTCTGCTCCTGTACATTTGTTGTGTCAGTCAACAATTATGTGGTTTCTGAAGGTAATGTCCGGGGCTTCAAAGCAGAAGGGGGTGAATGCATGTGCATGCACTACTTTTCAGTTTTAAATATTTTAGTTTTATGTGAAACAGGTCCCCTCCCCTTTTAAACTTCAGCAATCTGGAGTGTTTTGTGTTACTTGTAATTAAATAAAACATTCATTTAAATTTCAGGTTGTGGGACAACAAAACAGAAAAAAATAGTAAAGACACACTGATTGTTAAAATTCCCTTTCATTATTTCAAAACACTTGTTTTATAAGTTTAATTTTGACAAATGTTTTAAAATGATTCTGCTTTACAGGCTATAAAGAAACGTGTAAGTGTGATGAAAAGAGCTCTAAGCTCACACTCACTTTTACACACCTGCTCCTTTACTCAACAATCTGCAACACTGTGTCGATTTCGCACCTTTTTGTCTGACAAGCCCGACACCTGGTCCACGTACTCCTCCTGGATCATGAAGGCAGCCAAGTTGGCAGTGTAGGAGGCCAGGAAGATGACAGCAAAGAAGGCCCACACTGACACCATGATCTTACTGGTGGTGCCTTTAGGGTTCTGAACAGGAACGGAGTTGTTGAAAACCAGGCCCCACAGCAGCCAGATGGCCTTGCCGATGGTGAAGGAGGGACCGCCAGGCTCTGGGGGGAACAGAGTGACAGATGGGGTTCAGATTATGTGTTTACTTGTGGCCATTATTGTGGGAGACATCTTTCAGATAGCTGTGGGATAAAAAGAAAAAAAAAAAAAACGAAATAAAAAAATCTAGATTTATTCCTATCACTGAATTTGTCAGAGCTCGCCACATGTGCAGTTCCCAACTACTCCTGCAGCCACTGCTGACAACCTGTTTTTACACACTCGCTGTGTTCCACCTACCTCTATGTCTGTATGACAAGGTGTCAGGAAGCAAATACTACCTCCAGGAGCTCAACGGTGGAGAACGCGAGAGCGGGGAGGGGGCAGACGGACGCGCAACAGGCTACAATTATGCTACAGCTGGAGCAGCAGTATAGAGCAGTCTTACATAACCCAGCGATTAAAGCACTCAACCCGTATAACGCTGCTGCAAGACATAAAGAAAACAGCTTCCAGACTATTTATTTATGTGATTATTACGCATCTGATCTTTAACAGAAAACAAGGCTCCGAGGCACCTTTCTGAATGTATCTTGAGTGGCTGCTACTGCGGCAGACTGATGGAAACTGAAGGAGAAAAAGGCAGATTGAGTCTGAACCACCTGAATCTGATAGGATCATTGATTTTAACAACTTGCTGAAATCGCATTTGATTCAACATTGATTCTCTTCTGTCGTACACCATTCAGTTTGACCCATATTCTCAGTGTCTAGCTGTAGCTCTCGTTTGGAGCAATGATTGTTTATTTTTTTGGAGGTGTAACAATGGCGCTGGTGCAATTAAAAGGGCATTGTAACGCAGGAACAGGGGATTCCGTGTTCACACAGTGAGGCTTAGAATACTTAAGATCACCTATCTCGTCCTCTTCATTAGTGGAAGAGCTTAAGTGACTGTCAATGCAGATAAGCCTTCAAAGACATCAAGTAGAAACTCCCAGCGCTCCAGTTGCACTCATTCAGACAGAATTGTCAAAGTAATTTAACACCTGGAGTTTTCCGTCTGAACGGTGCGTTCAAGGAAAAGAAAATTGCAGCCTACGTTTTCATTTCAGCGTATTACATAGCCTGGTGTTGTGCTTCACACCTGCCTTTTTGTAGCATGAATTAACCTGGCCGTGTGTGTCTGTGTGTGTACTTGTTTTGCCTACAGAGTGAGGGTTTTTAAATCAACAAAGTGAGGTCATTTTTGTTCGCAGCTCTACTGTACTTTATTAGTCAGGTTTAGAGATATGGTGTGATTTAAGGTTTGGTTCAGGTTAGGGTTAACCAGTAATGGTTAATTTTACTAGTTAGGTTTAGAGATATGGTGTGATTTAAGGTTTGGTTCAGGTTAGGGTTAACCAGTAATGGTTAATTTTACTAGTTAGGTTTAGAGATATGGTGTGATTTAAGGTTTGGTTCAGGTTAGGGTTAACCAGTAATGGTTAATTTTAGGGAAAATGTCTGGATTAGGCATAAACACAGTTATAAAAATGCAGTGGTGGGCACGGTTCCCCTAAAGCACTAAAGCACTAATAGGGGAACTAATTTCTTGATTAGTGCTTTAGAGCTTTTGCTATTTTTTAACTCTTTAATGGATTAGCACTTGCTAAATTTAGAAGCACTAACTGAGGTCTTTAAATGTTATTTATCAACATTATTGCTCACAGATGAATGTGAAAGCTGTCACATATTTTGTTTATATGCATATATCTATAAGGTTACATGTCAAACTCAAGGCCCGCGGGCCACATGTGCCCTGAGGGTGACTCCTATTTGGTCCGGCAAGGGCACTAAGTGACAATATTCTACACACAGTAAATATTGTCTCATGTTGACTCTGAAGAATGTTTCATGTGTCAACTAGATTTTTTAGCGCTTTAGAATTAGCTTTTGCTAAATTTTTCAGTGTTTTAGTGCTTTCGAATTAGGGGGCCTAAATATTTGAGTTAGTGCTGCCCACCACTGCAAAAATGAATGGAAGTCATGGAAGGTCCCCACGGGGTTCAAGAACAAACCTGGCTGTGTGTGTGTGTGTGCACACGCAGAGTGTGTGTATTCTCTCACCTCGTCCATCTGCCAGACAGCGGTTGTAACCCACCGGGCTGAAGTACTCGAACACGAAGACGGCTACGGCCGACACGATGAGCAGCATCACGAACATCATGACCCAGACGTCAGCGCTGAAGGGCTCTGACACAAGAACGAGAAGGAGGAGAACGTGTTTACAGGTGGATGTGCTGGGAGAGGACGTCCATTAACGCGTCCTCCCCTCCGTGCCGACTGGATTATTCGTGTTCAGACAGTTTTCTGTTGCGCTCCCTCATGTTTATGGATTTTATGTGAGATTGTGTCAACGCCAACAAGAGTAAAAACTAATGGAGAGGAAACGAGGTGTGAGTAAAACCATGTTGTTGTTGAAGCGAGCACATTTTTATTTCCAGTCTGACAGCTGTTCTTGGTTATCTGCCTTCTTCAGCAGAGCAAATTCAACCAGGTGTCAGCTTAACGCACAATGTTTGCGTGATGCCTCTTAAACTCTACCGTTAATAAAAACTGTTACTGTTTGTTTGCTTTTTGAAAGTGAAAAAAAAAAAAACAGTTCATATTTAGCCATAAAATATGAAAGAGGATTCAGAATTCTAAGTTTAAAGTCAGAATACTTTTTTCCAGTGGCTTTAATCCTCTAATAATAAGAAGCAACAATAAGAGCTCAATGTGACAAAATTCTGTACCTCGCAAAAGATATAGTGGACTTAAACCTTTTCATTTGAACTCTCACTATTTTAAAAGTTCTTCTCTTGGTTTTGTACAGAGGTGTGAGCAGTTGAGATTTTATCTCAATACATTTATCTTGACTTTACTTTAAAATTAATGTCTTAGGTTCCGGAAATATGAGGAATTTATCTTAAAGTTGTAACAGCAAACATTTGTCATCACCACTCATCTCAGCACAACCATAAATCAAAAAAAAAAAAAAAAAAAAAGGGATGCTAGCACTAACCCTGTTTTTACTTTTAGGAATAAAACCACAACAATGAGCGCAGTGGATCAAATAAGATCCAAAACTCTTTTCTGTTTTTCTCGCCACTTATTAAACCTGACAGGGCACACCTGTGAAGTGAAAACCATTTCAGGTGACTACCTCCTGAATCTCATCAAGAGAATGCCAAGAGTGTGTGAAGCAGTAATCAAAGCAAAATGTGGTTACTTTGAAGAACCTAGAATATAAAACAATATTTTCAGTTGTTTCACACTTTTTTGTTAAGTATATATATATATTCCACATTTTAATTTATAGTTTTGATGCCTTCATTGTGAATCTACAATTTTCATAGTCATGAAAAAAAAAAGAAAACTCTTTGAATGAGAAGGTGTGTCCAAACTTTTGGCCCTCACCTAAAAAGGCCGAAGGGGAGACGGTTCCGTTACTCCGGGACACCATGACGCTGATCCCCGTCTCGATGAAAGGCACAGAGAAGTCGATGACCTCTGACCTCTCCTCGTTGATGGTGAGCGAACCCACTGCCATGTGGGCATTCTTGGCCACCACCTGAGGGCCGAACAGACGGACACAGAGAGAGAGAATCATGAGCTCAAACTGTCCACCCTTTCAGCTAAAAACCTTATAAAGATCAAAGCAGCCTTGTTTCTGAGTGTGTCCAGGTTTAATCTGCTGTGAGTTTCTGAAACTTGTGGCCATAATTTAAACAAAAACCCCAAACTGTGTCAGTGATATCTATTGCTGAGTAAACAAAACAATATACCGTTACACACTCTCGTCTCGTTCCATTTCTTCCTCGAGGGCCTGATCTCTCACTTCATTGTTTCCTGCATCTGTTTTCCTCCTCATTCAAATGAAATCATTAGCTGCTCGCTTGGGCATTAAAATGTGTACTGCACATTTGCATAGCACAGCCATCATCTAAACGCACACCTCAGGAGTTTTACACCGCAAGCCATCAGCTCAAGATGGACCCAAGATGTTAAGTTGTGACACAATCAGTTGAACCGGGCCGGATTGTGCCAAATGTCAAACGTGTCGTGTGCACAGGGGAGATGTGGGCCTTTGCCTGAGGCTGCTTTCTCCCTCCACTCCAATTGTTCTCGCTTCCTCTCCACATCGTCTGTAGTCTTCCTCCCTCTCTGATTAGGAGTCCTCATTAGACCCTCCTGAGGTTTGCTGGATCTGATCACAGCTTCCCCTCAGGCCAGGTTGTGAGACACAAGGAATATAGTTGGCATGACAGAGACGGTGGGAAACTAACAAACCAGCTTGATATTCAAACAGTATAATCAAGACTAGCAAAAGAAATAAATAAAACTGCTCTTGGCTGGCTGTGGAAACGTTCGCTTCAAGTGTTTTGTCGATTTTAAAATGCTGAGAAGCAGAAACTGTATCTCTGCGGGGGGAAATAAAGGCAGCAGAAGTGTTGGGAGGATAAAATGAAAAGAATAAAGAACATTCAAATGTTGAATAAATAAACCAATAAAATATAAATGAATCATTCACGCTGGGCCACGTGTGCGGCCCCGCCGTCACAGAAAGAGCTCTGTCACATCTGTTCAGGTTCTTGCTGACATCTGCCTGAGGCTAAATTAAAAGGCTACACCTGGAACAACAGCTCCTCTCGCTCTGCGTATCAGCCGACGTTAAATCGATCTGTGCTAGCTGAAAAGAGCTTCTCCGTGCGTTTCAGGTGTCACTTTGTGTCTACCGTGTCAAAAGCGCGGTGAGTATCCCTGAACGCGCGGTAAAGCAGGAAGCCGCCGGTGACACGGCGTCCGCGCTGACGAGCTAAACGGCTGAACGGGGGCACAGCTGTGATAAATATACACCTTTACTCCACTGGCTTTGATGGAAATGAGAGACATGTACAGTATATACTGTTACTTTATTTTGGATAAAAACTGCCCCGATGTGTCACTCTGGTGATTCAGGAACATTTGCATGGTGATATCGCCTGCGTTCTGCTGCAGTGCTCTGCCAGCTGTGAAATCCACAATCAGCTGGTGTGCCAGCAGGTCTGCACGAACTGTCACTGTGGGTTTTTTCAACCTGCTTACAGACAAGCCAGAGCTTCTTTCCACTGTTGGGAAAAACTACCCCTCATCATTCAATTCACAAGATGATGGTTGGGTATTCATAGAACAAAAGTAGGGACTATAAGTGGGCCTGGCCCTACTCATTCCTTGGCAAGGCCCACCCAGTCTAATAGTGTACGTTTTCCCTTTTTGGCTCTTAAATTATAAACCATACATTAAACATTGTTCCAGTTTTCTTTTATTTAACAAGTTGTACAAATTTTCTGGCCACACCCACTTCCGTTTGGCCCACCTGCAAACTCCATGCCCCCCACCCCTGAACAAATATTGACAGGTGTGCAGGGAACGTTAAAGCAACCCCCCTCACCTCTCCAACCATGCCGTTCCAAGTCCCGTTCACCTTCTTGCCGTGCTTGCCGTTGGTGACCAAGTACAGGTCGTAGGTGAACTTGACCGTCTTGGCGATCTTCTTCAGGATGTCGATGCAGAAACCTTTGCAGCAGCGCTTGATATAAATTCCCGAATCACCCGTGTGATTGCTTCAGGAGGGAAAACAGAATGGAGAGACAAGAGAAGGACGTTTCAGCCACATTTTTAACCAAAAAAAAAGGTGCAGAAGATCATCATGAAATATTTTGATCAAGCTCTTGTGAAGACCCACACCTCATAACAATAAGTAAGATTTTTTTTTGTTTTAAACAAAATAATATTAATAAAATCTCTGGGAAAACTCATTAATGGTAAAACTATAGATGCACAAATGAACAATGCAGCTACCATTTTTCAACAAAAACAAAAAATAAAATGCCACATCTGTTTGTGTGGGTTTTGTAAGTAAGTTTTAAACAGGACACTGTACACACACACACACACACACATACACACACACACACACACAAAAATCCATCTAAGGAAGCCAGCAGATTGTGTTGAATCTTCACTTCATCACAGTCTACCATCCTGAGAAGCACATTGGCAACCGTGGAGAGGAAAAACTCCCTTAATTAAGTAAAAAGCAGAAAAACTTTTCAGAGTATGGCTTTTGTTCTCACACAAGTAAATACTGTATTTATTGGTGTATAATATGATCTCATGTATAATACGACCCCCCCCCCCACTTTTGAGCTTAAAAAGCATGAAAAATTTAATCCTCAAACTACCTCCAATTTCATACAGACTTCAAGATTTTTCAGACTATTGGACTGTCCATTTTATTTTAACAACATATGTACTAAAAGGTATTTTGACAACAAATAAATATCACCAAACTATGATTTTTAGCATCATATGAATTCTGGTATTTTACACATAGTCCACCAGGATGCACCAACTCAAAAGTCAGAGACTTCACATGAGATTTGGACCATCTTCTGGGGGAAAAGCAGATTACTTCCTACTCGCGAGCGCCCCCTCTGGTGGGGAAACTTTTTTCAGGGATACAAACTTTTTCAGAACACCGGTAGACGGCAGCCATTACAGACGAACATGTTTGTTGTTGTTCGAGGAGCAGCCTGGTCACACACTAATGTCATTAGTTCGTTATCATTACTAAGGTACAGGAATACTCCCCCCACTTTTTTTCACATCATGTTGCCTGCCTGGATCTGTTATTGTCTCGCTCTGAAGCACGGAGGAGTGTCACAGGTGAGCTTGTTTCAACTGCTTTTTATGACGCGGTCTCATTTCCGGACTCAGGCATTTTGCGTGTGAAGCTGATATTTCAGTTAAAATACATAAGTAAAAATATTTATACGAGTACAATACTACCCCCCAACTTTATGGATGATTTTATGGATTAAATTTTACGTATTATACTTGAATAAATATGTTAAGTTTAAAAAGTTGCCCAATTGTACAGCAATAACAGTCAGAGCCTGACTCAACGAGAGGCAAACATCTGACCAAGTTGTGCCAAAATGATACAGCTGCAGGAACAGTGGCAGCTTTGGCAGAACTACCAGATTAAAAAGTCTTACTGGTTTTCATGTGTTCATGTTGTTTATCACAGGTGCTTAAAAAACATGATTAAAAAAAACGCTGAATTACATGGAATAAACTGAACACATGGGTTTAGTCATCTGAGCCATATGTGTCACTCTGTGTTCAAAGACAACACGGCTTTTCGCATCTGGCTGATGGAATATTTTCATCTGAAAATAACCCTGCCAATCCTTATAATTATAGTGTGTGTGTGTGAGAAAAGATGCTGATAAACGAGGGACATTGATGAAAGAAAAACGAAGTTAGAGGATGTGGAGCTGCTTCGGGTTGTTTCAGGTAGGTCAGGGATAAAAAAAGAGACCATGCTCATCACTCTCTGAGAGCGAGAGGACCCAACGTGAAGATGAAACGGGGACGGACACTGAGCCCACGTTCCAGTTTGCAGAGGTGAAACAAGTGGAAGTCATCACCGACGCAGCCGCAAAGCAAACACCCTCACCTGAGTTTTAGCTGCTTGCGACACGGCACTGTGTTCCTCATGCAGGTACCACTGAGGGGGTCCACGTCTTCCACGATGACGAACGGCGCCTCCTCCAGAGTCACGATGGACAGGTGGTCGTCTCGCTCCTCCACGTCTGAGTACAGCTCGAAGCGAGGCCACACGTGGTACCTCATGGTCAGAGAGCCTCGCTCCCACTTTCCAACCTGCGTGGGGTGAGAGCGGCGTGAGAGCTGGGTGATGAACAAGCAGTAAAATCCACTTTTTAAGTGGCAGGGAGACACTCAGGACAAAGTGACAGACGTCACATCACAGGGTGAAAAACACCGGAGCAGGAAAACAACCAGAAGGTGGATTAGAGGAAGAGAAGACATTTACCCTGTCCCACTGTCGGTCCTTGTCCAGAAGTATGATGACCAGCTTGGGGAACATCTGGTGGCCTTTTTCACTGAATGACAGGTTCCGACCCTCAAATGTCACATTCATAACATACCTGAGGAATACAAAATCTACTGTGACATGGTTGAAGAAAAGAATCAAACAGTGTTCACTCATACTTTCAATTCCTCAGATATTGTGTTAATATGACCCGGTGGTTTTTTACAGATAATGACCCCGATCCACAGGGACTTCAGGGCCCAAAGGATCAGTAAAGTTCCAGATTCTGCAGGATACCCTTAGAGTTTCTGATGGTGTTCCACGCATTAATCAGATTCTGCTTACTAACTTTGCTCATGTGTTTTTTTAATCAAACCATCATTCTCAGACATGTTTCTACTTCTAACACTGCATACAATAATAACTGTTATCATAAATGTATATATATTACACAGAAACACACAAACTGTAAAATTGACTTAATAGCTGTCTCACTTAGGCAATGAACAGTATGTGACTTGTGTCACTATGACTCAGTGCTATCATTCACTGCTTGTACTTGTAACACCAGAAGTGTCCTTTTGATTGAATTCAGAAAATACAGTCTTGTGGGGCAGCGGAGTGGTGCGCTCTTCTTGCACGAAGACACAAGGAGCTCTAAAACGTGAGTTTGTGTTTTATTATCACTCTCAACCAAAAGTAAAGAAATAATAAAGTTTGCAAATGACATCTCTAAAAAGCACTGTCTCACATGTCGACCAACATCAGCCACAACAGCATGAAGATAAGTGGTAAATCCAGTGCTTCAGATGGATGGATGACAGATCATTTTGTACAATCCTGACACTCCCCTCATTACACTATTATTTTTAGTATTTTTTTAGGTTTTATTTCATTCATCTGTCAGACATCTGTGTTCCACATGACATCATTCGAATGAACAAATCTTTTTTCCAAAGTTTTTCTTAATTTGCTCAGATCTAAGTGAAACCTCTGAGACATGCTACGGTCAGGTAGACACATCACTTATTCTACAAACTGATGCCACCAATGACATTGAATAAACTGACATTTTTTTCCTCCTCTTTATTCAGAGGCAAAACAAACAAAAATAATAATAAATATCACAATAACTTTAGCTTTACGACACAAAGAACTGCAAAACAAAAACAGCTGTAATTTCTTTTTTTTGCTTTGTTTTGTTTTTTTAGACATCATTCATCGTTTCCTCAATGATTATCATGCATGACTGTGACAAAGCAAGCCAGATGTTAAATAAATAAAATAAAATAAAATAAAAGCAGCTCCTTCAATGTTGCAAGTGCACAAAGCAGGAGTGGACATGTGCAAAGTAGGCTGAGATGTCATTGTTTTGCCAAGATCTTTGCTTATCAAGCACAGATGGATAATGCCAAAGTTTTAAAAAGGCTCCACTTTGCCAAGGTTTAGTGACAAAAAAAATCCTCAAAAATATTAAAATAACACAGCATGAGGAGGAGAAGTGCAAATGCAGCAATGAAAGTTTGTTTTATAAAATCTGTTTCTGCAGAACAAAGGCTCTAAACTACGATGAAACGGCTGAAGGTTCAGGGTTGTTGGATCGACCACCATCTCTTTTCACTCCCCGTTTCATTGTGAAGTATTTCTTTAGGCTCAAACCTCAGATAATAGAAGTCGAGATGTGTTTGGAGGTTAAAACGAAGAAGAAGAAGGTGCTGGAAAATTCTAGTTCAAGTTCAGTCTATAAACCGTCAGTGAATAAGATAGTTTCAGATGTAGGTAGCTCAAACCAGAGGTGGGGACTCAAGACTTGAGTCACACTTAAGTCCCTACTTTTAGAGACTTGAGACTTGACTTGGACCCCAAAGACTTGAGACTTGACTTGGACTCGTGGTTTGAGACTCATGAACAGTGCAAGTCTTTTCACTGCCAGGCTCACGATTCTCACTCCCTCAGTATACATCCATGCTTCGCTCCCCCTCGCCTGAGAACAGGAGGGGCCAGCGCCGTCCAGTGTACGATGTGTACCCTACCAGACAAACAGAGCTTCAGCAGGGCAGGTGTGTTGCAGCAGGCAGCTTCTCTGCCATTCATTACAAGCTTTGCTTACAGATACTTTATTCAATGTGATGACAAGAGACTGGCTGAATGCAAAGTGTGTGGGGTCCAAATCCAAAAATTGTTTTTGTGATGATTTGTGCATCCCTTTTACTTTAAGAATTCTGGTTCATCATCTTTGCTGACATGCATTTAAATATATTCTTCTGGTATTTTATTGTAAAATCAGCAGAAGACTTGTTGGATTTATTCTTTGTCAATGAAGATATAATTACAGTATAATTACAGTATGCTTTTGTAAGACTACAATGCAAAATACAGTTAACAATACTCTAAATGCTTGATTGTTGTTATTTCAACCTTAACCTTATCTGTATTTTTAAAACAGTATTATGTTTTAATAGTATTATTAAAACATAATTATATGTTTTAATATTTTATTAAAATATAGTATTATAGAATATAATCTAGTATAGTTAGAATAACATTGATCAAACTGCCAGTTAGGTGAAACATGCAACGAGACTTGGACTTGGGGTCAAAGACTTGAGACTTGACTTGGATTTTTGGTCAAACAGTTGGACTTGACTTGGAGCCAAAGACTCGAGACTTGACTTGGACTTGCAAAAGAAGACTTGTGCACATCTCTGGCTCAAACACAAAGTAAAGGGTTGATAAAATGTTGGGATTGTCGTCACTTCAGACGCAGAAATATATGAACGCTCTCAGAACCACTTCCTAATAAGGACATCTTTATATCCATCTGTCTATTTTCTGTACTCGCTTCAAAGTGCTATTTTTTAAATTCTAGTAAACATCATTAAAGAAAGTGTTTATGACCTCGTGAACAACCTATTTATAAGACATTAATAAATTCTTTTCCACGAAGTGGTGCACGCTCGGTGTTTAACTAATTTCATTTTCTTCTCCTTGTTATTTTTAACAGTGGTCGTAATAACCTTGATAATTTATGCACCAAAGACACAGGAGCAGAACCTCTACAAAGGTGACCCAGTTTGAAACATATGGCACCTGAGGAGGACTGAGAAGCACGAGGGAGAGCGGAGTGACGAGCAGCGAGAGGTAGAGGAGGAAGGAGAGGGAGTGTATTCACCGCCTGGTGAATCCATATCAGTATATACAGTATATGTGTCAACAAGTGTAGAGCGCTGGCAGATAAGCTGGAATCATCGCTTTCGCTTGCAGCCGCCTCCTTCTCTCCCTTCCTTCTCGTTCTGATCTGTGGGCTGCCATCACCATGGAGATGCTCTGCCTCTGAAGCAATCCACCGGAGAAATAAATATCTTGAATGCAAGCAGCAAGGAGCTGTGTGTGTGTGTGTGTGTGTGTGTGTGTGTGTGTGTGTGTGTGTGTGGTCTGATTTGGGTCAAAGAGCCAGTACCTCACAGCAAGGAGCGACGGCTTCGACCTATGATTGGATGTTAGGAGAGGGGTATGTGTGTGTGTGTGTGTGTGTGTGTGTGTGTGTGTGTGTGTGTGTGTGTGT